CGGGAAATGTCATGCCCCTTACCATAGCCACCTGCCAGCTTCAAGTGTAAATATTGCGTCAAAATCTAATCAATTTGAGCACGACTTAAAGGGGTCATCGGATGCAAAATTAACTTTTCAAGTTGTTTGAACATAAATTTATGTTGGAAGTGTGTGTACACATCCATCTTATAATTATAAAAATCCACCCAGTGTTTTTTTTTTAAATCCCTATTTTAAAATCCCCTTTCTCAAATCAGGCTGTTCTGAGGTTCCTGTCAGAATGAAGTAGTTCTGCACAGGCCACTCCCACGACAGTTGATTGACAAGTCCATCTTACCTTAAGACCAGCCCTGAGTGAGCTGTCTGCCATTGTGTCGACTCCGGTGCAGGGGAAGACAAGATGTCACCGATTAAGCGATTGAGGTGCTTTATTGTTGGATGTAATAATGAATATAGCAATCGTCATTTACTCCCGACATCTGAGCCACTGAAGACGCAGAGGATTAACGTTACTTTCGCTTTGAAGTGAGTGCACCGCTCCCGAACTGCCTAAATGTCTATGTTCACGCGAATCATTCGTGATCCAGCCTCATCTACAGAAGAAGTGAGTATAAGGGTTTTTTATGAATCTTTGCAAATCGCCTTTCCTAATAATGTGCTAATTAGCAAGTTTCACGATGAATGCAGCTAAAGTAAACAGTCTCTCTGAGAGCAGCTCGGAAGAGAGGGGTGGTGCCAGCAGAGCTCATTAACATTTAAAGCAACATGGACTATAATGGCTTGATAAAAACAGAGCTGATTTTGACAGGTTTAAAGAGGTGTTTTTTACACTAACATTGAGAAATTTTAACCGAAGTATGTTATTGACTTTTAATTAAGACCCTAAAGAATCATATCAACTTGTGCAAAATGGGCATCCGATGACCCCTTTAAACCCGGATGATTGTAACCACTTTAAGTTCGTCTGCCTGTGAAAACACTCGTTGCCTTCTCTAGTGCAGCTCAACCAGGTCTCATCCCATTCGTCGATATTTGCAATATCACAAATCCCGGAAAATATGCATTGTAGTCCAAACGAGTCGTTCATTGTAGTTTTTGAAAAGTGATTTCTGTTAAATATCTCCTTTTGAAGTGGGCTTTGAACTTTGGAACTTTGCAGATCTTTTTTATGCTCAACATTACAGACTAACTAAAGTTGAAAAAGTGAAAAAGCATAATAGGACCCCTTTAAAAAAAGAGAAATCATTGCAATTTGTTGCATTTTATTGCTCACCATCTCAAAGATTGTGGTATCACCTCATTGACCTCCACTTCCTGGAGATGTTTATAGGAATGAAGAGAATCTCGAGATCCTCCACTGAGATGATGGCCTGCTCTAGAGATGGGCGGAGTCCACTTTGAGACAGCTCGATAATTGGTTACCTTGTGTTTTAGGGCAGGGCTTGAGGAGAAGGAGCAGCTTCTGTAGAAACAGAAAAAAGCTTCCGAAGTGAGGAGACAAAGATCGAAGATTTTTTCAAAGATTTTATATGAGACAGCTTTAGGTTAGCACATGGCTCCAATGCTAGAATTCAAGATAATTAATTCAGGCCCTGTTGTTAGATTCTTTCTATAAATCAATGCTAGTAAATTACTATTGTGGAAAAAATTATTCGGAAATGCTAATTATCATGGTTGCTACCAATTACAATTATTATAATTCTTTTAAGTGTTTCATTTTTGACGTTAACATATGGTGCCATATTGAAAGCTGATTAAATTTCTTCCTCCGTTGCTTTCACTTCTGTGAAGAGGGACAGAGTGTCAGAAGTTTTACAATAGATGTGAAGCTCTGGGAAAGTACCTGCAGCGCTTCCCCATGGAGAGACTGCGATTATGATTTGGTAGGGAAACTTTAGAGCTGCTGAGAACTATGTTGGCCGCCTGCGGAGAGGAGAAACCATGGGCTCTTCTGCTCTGTAGAGACGAACAGGGAAATAAAATATATTATTGCAGACGAACAAAACTATATAGTGGATGACCTCACTATATATGACCTCACTGATGACGTCATTTTCATCCATGTGTGAATGTTTAATGGGTGTTAGTAACCAAAGTGAGAGTGAGATGAGTGGATGAGTTAGCTGAGTGAAATGAAACCTGAACATTAATTAGGATATGCAAAATCTATTTCAAGTGATCTTTTTGATTAAACAGATCAGCTCTGTAGTAAAGCATTTGTTCATACCCTAGTCAAATTTGAAATGTGAGCATAACATTGCGATTAGAAATGTCCATAAAATCATTTAAAAAACCATTTCAATAGCACATTGATTTGATAAACTATAATTACACACTGGGTTGAGGGAGAAATCACTCTTTCTAACCAAGTTCACATACTTGAATAATTCTGTGACATTTAATTCAACAGCTTCATTCCTATATCTGCTACTGTCGGGCCGTGGTTTTGTAGGTCATTAGATGAATGCATAAAACAGCAACTGAGGCCTGAATACGGCTTGTTGGTCCAGCAAGATTTTTCCCGTTTGGTTCAGGGTCCATCCTAATATAACTTATTTAAATTAATTTAAATTGCAGCTGAACTGCAGGGGATGTAAAATATCGTTCAGAAGTCTTGGGTCGATACAATTTTTAAAATGTTTCTGAAAGAAGCTTTTTATGCTCACCAAGGCTGCATTTATTTGATCAAAAATACAGTAAAAACAATCATAATGTGAAATATAATTACCAATTAAAATGCATTTTAATTCATTTTAAAATGTCATTCACTCCTGTGATGGCAAAGCTGAATTTTCAGCAGCCATTACGCCTGTGTCACATGATCATTCAGAAATCATTCTAATATGCTGATTTGGTGCGTAAGAAACATTTAATATAATTATCATGGTTGAAAACAGTTGAGCTACTTAATATTTTTGTGAAAACCATGATACATGTTTTTTTGGAATCTTTGCTGAAAAGAAAGCTCAAAGGAAAATAATTTATTTGAAATATAAATCTTTTGTAACATTAAAAATATCTTCACTGTCACTTTTGATCAATCTAATGCGTCGTTACTGAATAAAAATATTCACTCTTTCTTTCACTTTTGAATAGTAATGGGAACACATTTGTTTGATTTTGTTTCATGACTTAACTAGAACGGATAGTGAGCTGCGTGCATCTGGGAGCCATGTGAACACTGTCAATGATGACAACCGCAACAACCACTCGGCAAAACATTAAAATCTAATTCCAGCGCCGGATTGCCACTCGTTATAACACACACTAACAAAATGAAAACTCTTGCTCAGCAATTAAAGATGCTTCCTCTGTATTATATACATCGCTGCTGCAAGCAATTTCATGAAGTGGTGTGGACACGACCAGCCGTAAATGACACCTATGATTGCTCTTGTGTTTTATTAGTGTTGTACAGCATCTCATCTCACTTCCCCTCACTTGTACAGACAGATAAATATAGGAACACACACACAGGCCAAAGACAAAATAAAGGGATCATGAAGTTCTGAAGAGTGGCCACATAGAAATGTTCACTCAGTGATATACAGGTCCCTCAGTGAGGGAAAGCCACTTTAATTAGACTTTACATTTAAACTGCAGATTAAACGAGACACACTCTGATTATTCTTCCTTTCGACTTCCCCAGTCAGGAATTAATCTCAGACAAGATAACATTAATGAATTCCTAAACTATTTTTTTAAGTCCCCTCTTAAAATCAAAGCCATTATCTAACAACAACCCAGCTATCCAAGAACAGCCAGCAATAAGTAACCCAAGACCCCCACTCGCCCCAAATGTTGCTAGAGCTGGAAAAGACAGATAATGCAGTTATTCCAGTTAGTGAAATCTCCCTCCCTCTGCCTTTCTCGTGGAACATCATTAAAATGATTGAGTTTGACTTTAAAGTAGTTTGGGGCCTTACAGCTGAAAAAGCATGTCCATCTAACACTGCTGCTTCCTTGGGGACCTGTTAGCATTGTTCTTCTCTCCAATAAGAAAATTGGATGATTTCTGACCACCCTTTCATCGCCTCAGCAGGGTGAGAAAACTCAGAGGAAGAGAAGCAGAACAGAAGCTTTGCTTGCCGCTGTAATTGTAAAAAAAATTCTGAAGGAGGGGTGAAACATGCAAAATTCAAGTGAAGTCTGAACAAAAGATTGGAGCTCTCCCTATCAGCCTCTTCTTAAATTAATTTTATAGTCGTCTGCTACTAACTCAGCAGATATTGGTGATGATTATATAAGAAGTCCAATTAAAGGTTTGCTGTGCATGCTTGGATTAGCAAGAGACACTGATCTGATATGCTGCACCCTGTGTCATTTACGCACTATATACATGTTCATATAAATGATTTTGGTATTAAAGCATCTGTAAAGAAATGTAAATGTAAACCATTGGGAATAATTTAAGCTTGATTACTCACTCTCATTGGACCTGATGACACACATTGGAACATGAGCCATCAACATTTGTGTATGGGATGAGAATGAACCGCCAAGTGGCAGCAGAGAGAGACTGATTTTCCAGTTTGGATAATGTAACTCTATTCATCCAGTTCTTCATCAGCTAGGTGGCTGGCTGCCTTTGACTGTTGCATCAGATAGATGCAGTGTTTACTCCCCAAGCTGCATGCAGTGTTATTTCTGTCAGCTTGAGGGATCTTCGGAGCAGGTGGGAAAGCAGTAAAGCCGTGGAGGGCATCATTCCTCCAACTGCCTGCTGGCCAATTGTATTCATTACAGGGGACTTTATTTGAATATCCATAACAGCACATGTGGGTGACTTGATTTCCAACTGTACATGTATATATTTGGTATATGCACAGGTGTAGGCTTTTTTTGGACAAGCGATCATTATGTGTATTGTCAGCACAAATGGGGACTTCATGCAAATTGGCTCTCTTGGACATAAACAAACAGCAGCTGCGAGACGTCACCTTTTGAAGCTGGAGGGTGCTCTCCAGTCTGGGGCTGGATTTAGACATGAGACCCGAGGTATTGATAGTACAGTCCCTCAAGTTGCGATTTTCAGTCAGATGGGCTCTATGCTTCTCTCTTTGTCTCCTGCAAAGTGTTAACACATTTTTAAACCACAAAATGTAATTTTCTGTAATGAGACTCGGGTCAGTGAAACATAAGAGAAAAGCAACAATCTAGTTTAGTTTGCGACAAATTTTTACAAATGTACTTTTTATATTCATGTTGGTTTTGTATGATTTAAAAAATATTCCTTATGTCTTAAAACATGAGTGTACACATTACTTTAAAAAATGTTTTAAAGAAAACTTTTTTTTTCTCACTACAAATATCATAAATTATTCATTTAAAAAATATTGTTTTTGGGGAGTTGCATCATATGACATTTTACAAACCTTCCCTTGTCACGAAAATGTTGAAATTATTTCGATATTTCATGAGACCTTGGCACGCGAGACCAAAGAAAAACAGCTTTTCAAATATTAATAAGCAGGGAAGTAGTTTTGTTAAAATATTTATTTTCTAAGAAACAACAATAAAAGATTATGCCAAACTACTAAATAATGTTTTCTTTTCAAGAATTTCATTTTTAAATAGGAAATCATAGAAGAGGCACAAGCCATTGTATGTATGAATTGCAATTTTAATTAATTTTTGATTGTCTTTTTATTTGTTATTATTTATATTACCTTCAAAAACCAAATACACTCAGACTTATGTTGAAACAATGTTATTCCAAATTCCAAGGATGATTGGGACTCACTTGTTTTTGCAGTAAAGAGCCATGCAAGCCAATCCCAGCAGGCTGATCCCCATGGCTATGCTGAAGATGGACAATATCTGTCTCTGATAGGTTTCTGCACTCTCTGAAAAGACAGACAATACAGTAGCACACACTTCAGGCTTTATTCACAGTCATCACTATGCCAGTCTTGATTGAACAAAAGAATCTTGTGTAGCTAATTGGCTCTTATAGGTTGTAAAAAAAAAAAAAAATTCAATGCCACAATAATGGAAACATTCCCAGTGCAAGAGAACTTAAGAGACAATTGAAAAGGGACCATCTCAGAATTAATCTGCTAGTTCTATCATTTCAGCATATTTAACTAGCATGCAAACATGTGCACAATTACATTTGATTTGATGATCAGGGACAGACAGCAGAGAAACATGCAGGGAGCTGTCAGCTAGACATTCATTTGTGTCAGAGGTCAGGCAGGCTTGAAGAATCGGCCTAATGATCGGTTCATGGGCAACCAGCACTACTGAACTGTATTTGAATTACAGGAAGTAGGCCTGGACGATAAAATGGTATCGATATTTATCGACAGTACACCTTCGATATCTATAGAAAAATTGTTTGATATAGCGCACGATATTGGCACGTACATATAGAAGCTCAATGCGGAGAAGATCTTGAATGGATTAAAACCAAAACCAAGACATTCACACAGAACGCATCTACAGCGCATTTTTTAGACAGACAAATATGACTGCTGCACTTGCGTCTCACAGAAGAGATGTATAGAAAGCCATGCAAAGTTAAACCAGTTTAAACTTTTAGAAAACACGTCACGAATTTGTGGAGGTTTATTCCTTTTCACTGCGTCTCATATGTTTTTAAATGCTTCGGCTCTTTGGATTAAGCAATGCATAAATACATGATGCTGTTTTGTTCATAATTGTTTATGCAATTTACGAAATTATATTTGATTTTTATGAGTTAATTTAGACGTAATGCACGTTTTTATAGAGTTGCTTCCTTGTGTTGACAATTTAAATGCGCTGCATTATTTTGCTCATTGCGCCCTCCTGTGGCCTCGGGAGTCAATTAGACCTGTACAATAAAGACCTATTTAATCTGCATATAAAACATTAGAAATGAGATATTTGTTTAATTTTTATTGTGTTTGATTGTTAAAACAAAAAATATGTGTTGTTTGTCTCAATAAATTGTGTTAATTATAAATACAGTGGTTAAATAAAAAATAAAAAAAATTCTATTGCTTTTTGTTTTAAAAAAGGTTATAAAAAATGTCAATAATTATCGATATCGAACTATATGAAACATTATATCGTTTATAATTTTTTTAGCTATATCGACCAGCCCTTACAGGAAGTGGAATTTACTGAATTCTTTTTTTTTTTTTTTAAATAACAGGGAAGTGTTTTTCCATCTTGGTCCATGAAATGAAAACTATTGCTTGTCTGTCTGTAGAGCCTATAAAACCTTCTGACATCAAGAAATTGTAAACTTTCAAATAAGGCATTGTCAATCCATCGTTCACAGTTAACTCGACCAAATCTTGCTTTTCTGGTTATAAATGAAACTTTCATGTATTGGATTTGAAAAAAGCATTCTCAATTCACACATAAATTATCATAACCCTGATTAGTAAGGAGTTGATCCTCCCTAACAACTTGTATTCATCTGGGAGAAGTTTCACTCGATGTCAGAACATCAATGCTGAGATTTGCTGTGTGACTCATATCCTGCGATTCAATTAATTGTAAAAGTGTTCAAAGGGATTCAGGTCTGAGCTTTGTTCTTCAAAGCTAGTTCTAGTACACCAGAATCAGTAAATAATCTATATAGATCTATCTTTGTGTACAGGAGCAGAAAATGACCATCCAAAACAGTCTAGCATCATGTCTGTGGAAAACCAAGAACAGCTAATGGGATAGCAGAGACTGAACACTGGTTCTCACAGGACATTGAGCCCTGGTTTGGTGGAGAGTCTCTGCGAGCAGATGGCTTGACTCCCTCACAAACACACACCCGTGACTGAAATGCTCTCTCATGCCACAAATGCACAGAGCTGACCATTCTCAACACCCCCCTCCCATCTCTCTCTCTCATGGAAAACGCTCCATAATGGCCACAACTGGACTCGCTCACCATCCAGATTAAAATCACTGAGGCAGTCATTTCCGAGAAGCAGAAATGCATATCAGTTCCACTTTAACTATCTCTCCTTCTCTGACAGTTTTTGAGGAAATCTTGAGGCGAGCGTGTGAAGCACAACTAATGGAAAACTTCACAGGAATCACTCGTTCACTTAAAGAAATGCTTTCAGTTGTTAGGCACATGAGAAAGGACGGTCGGGTAGGGGGTGTGGATGCAGAAGGGGAGAAAGCCTGTGGAAAATTCATTTTCACAGCAGTTTTTTGGGCTTCTGTTTGTTGACACTACTTTAAGTCTGTGGATACTGTGGTTTGCCAGGGTAAAGGCATCTCTTTAGCACTTGGCTGTGTGATTTTTCTCATCCCCAGAGACTTGCTATGCAACATGCCACCTCAGCAAGGTGCACACCTTGGGACTTTGCTGTAATTAACAGCGACACACATAGCAACACTCACAGACAAACACAAGCAGACACATGTATGCGCACAAGCCACACAGACCACATCAACCACACAGATGCTGCCCTGTGCCTTTACAATACATTTCTTTTGTTCTGTTTCCATGGAAACTCAAGAACATTAAGCTTTTGTGAGGAACAGAGAGCATCATGTGTGTTTGTATACATTAATGCTGGTCAAGAATGAGAGGTGAAGCCTGTGGGTGTTTATTTTTTGCTAATGCTAGATTTAAATTTATAGGAAGTTATATGGGAAAGAGCCTGTCTTAAATTCTTTTTAACCATTTATAATCACAGTTTTTTTTACCATTTAAATGGATTTGCAGTGCGAAGAATGCATCTCAATTCAAGTCTCTTAATTCAAATGTGGTCATAAAATCTTTAAAATTATATAGAAAATTAATAGTAAATGATATAAAAATAAAATATGCAAAAATATAATTATATATAATTATATATATTAGATAGAGTACAGCATGTCACACTACAGAATTTTCCAGAATTATTTCATATCACTACTTCTGTGCGCATGTTAATGAGGGAGAAAAGAAAAGGGGTTAAAGAAATAATAATAATAATAATAAAAAATACATTTTCTTACCCATAAACTCAATGCCCAGCTCATCTGCTGCTTCAGGGAGTAATAAAAAAAGAGAAAAGTGGTTAAACAGATGGAGAGAAAGACAGAAACAAGGAGAGAGATGTTATCATACAGATTTCCACAAACACAGACATATTAAATCACCCAGATAATAACCGTGAATAAAAAGCCAGCGAGTTTTGTCAACTAAAACTGCTCATTGTTCAGAAAGAGAAAAGCTTCTGTAGTGGCATCGTTTCGGCAACAAAAATAGCTTTCTCTTGATTACCCAAGATACAAGCAACCACAATACTGAAGAGGGAGAAGCAGTTTATAATATAAAGCACATAAAGGCCTGTTAGTTGCCTGTAGAAAAGACATGCTCCCCAAGAGAAGCTGGATTTAGTCAGAGACAGGCTTTAGAAATGCCTCTTTGTCAACTGTAATGCCCAGGAGATGCTTATAATTGTCTTTTTTAGTTCCAAAATTGTATTAATTCATCCGAAAGCTTCAACCAATATGCCTCCTCTTTAAGGGAGTCTTCTCCAGCAGAGCACCGCACAAGCAAATCGCCTTTGTAAATGCAGTCACTCCCTCTCTTTCTCTCTCTCCTCTATTCCACTGAAGCCTCAGAACTGCTGGTACTGATAAAGAGAAGAACACTCATGCTCTCTTCATTTGAATAGTCCCCTTTTTCACGCCACTGTAATATAATCTCATTTAAATTAAAATGAAACCCTCACACTTAATTGCTTTTCTGACAGAGGTGGTCTAAGGTTTTTAAATAGACTGCGACTTGCCCGAGAAAGATTATTTTAGTGGACATACTAAACTTACTAAAACACAGTGATCAAACACAGTGACAGAAAACCTTCTGTCAAATGATGAATCGCCACATGTAGCCTCAATTTTTGCATATATTCATGCGGCGATTTCAACATGATCTGTGAGAAAATAATGAGCCGAAATGTCTATTTTTTTTTTTCCTTTCGAAGAGGTTGTGCAGCGGTTCTTAATGAGAATGCAAGGAATGGTAGTTTTTGCCAATTCCTGCTTATGATTTAAATTCATGGTGAATAAGGACAGAACCCTTGTTTACTGGCAGCCACACCATAGCGCAGGCACAATGAAGTATGAGGAATCGCTTAAAGGTTGTTTTAAATGCTAATGTAAGCAGAATTGTTGGATATATTCCTACCCGAGATTTTTGCACAGTGTCTCTCCTCTGGGCCTTTTGAATTCACAGTGTTTTGTGGTATACGGCGAGATAAAAAAAAAAAAACACAACAGCTCTGTGAGACAAAAGGGCCAGGTGATGATCCAGCGGTTATGTCGTATCCCTTCTGCCAGCATTGCTTGGCCCATTCATGCTGCGGCTGCCTCTGATTGCCCACAATAACTGCCACATTCATTCAGTCATAATCGCTGTGCTGTCATGAGCCACACACACAAAGTCATTAAGCACGGATATGCATGCATTCCTCGAATCCTGGCAGCAAGTTCCTGATGTACTGTTCCCATAAACCACAACCTTCCAGCCGTTGTCCTGTCACCCTTGGGAGACATTTACGCCATCGAAGAGAGATGGGACCCAGCGCACTGAATGATAGCTGGTCAGTCACTCAGAGATTCAGTGGAAGAACTACAAAAATTAATCAAATCCTTAATCCTTCCGTTAGTTGGAGCAACAGGCGAAAGCTCCTTTGTGCAGCTTACTTACATAGCTTAATGCTCGAGAGATAAATACTTAAATGAGAGGGGCCGCTGTCCCCTGAGCAAGCCAGTCGTGAAATCAGTCTCTCTTGAGTCACCGGCTGAATCCCGGGTTTATCCACAGCTTGGAGAACGGCTTCACTAACCAAACTCCTTTTTTTTAGCCACTACAACCAGATTAGGGAATCAGAACATGAGAACCAAATGAGTAAGATGTGAACAAATCATTTACATCAGTTTTGTGAACCAAATCAAACAATAGATTCAATTTAAAAGAGTGATTTGTTCATGAGTCAGACAACACTACTTCTCTGTTTTTTGCAAAAAGCTATAATTTGGCTTTAAAATGAATTGGAATATAGTGCACGATACCACTTTTGATGATACTTTTATGCATTGTTTTTATGGCCTAAAAATATCTGTCCCCAAAAGAGCATAAAAACGAATTTTCTCTTTTTGTGTTCTGTGGAAGAAAGAAATTCATACAGCTTTAGAACAGCATGAAGGTGAGAATTGTTTCAATTTTGGGTGAATTACACTTCTAAAACCTCTCATACAGTGCAGTCAAAATTCCTCATATTGAGCAGTGGTGTTTCTGCAGACACTGACCCGCAGTGTTTTCTCATGCCAGGGAGCTGGGGGGAGGTAGGGGCCAAGCAGAAGCAAGGCTCTTTGGATCATCTCTTATGTGGTAGTCGATATGGAGACAAAAACGACAGTCGACGGATGATTTGTGCTAGTGTGTTGAGCAGAGATAGATTGTGAAAAAGCTCAGGGGACAAAAGACTAGGTGGCAGATAAAGCCAAGCCGCCCCCAGGGGGTGATTTGTGGCTCATTTGGTGGGTTAAGTGAATAAAGATGCACTGAGCCATACACATCAGGCTCAAACTAAGAATGGGAAAAACAAACATTGGCCTCTACAGGTTGGAATAAAGATACATTGAAAACATAATAGGTTATGAAAAAATAGTAGATAAAAGATATTGAGTACTGTGATTGCTACTCATGCGGGCCGCTCCAAAGCCTGATGTGTTTGTTTTCATGGCCGGAATGGATTGTAATTCAAGCATAATCTGGATTAACTGGCTCATCTCTATCAATGTTGTATAGATGGATGAAAAAACACATTTAGCAGATTTGCAACAGCACTGGCCTAAAATTGCTGTAATGCTAAACGGTGTCAATAGGAGGGTGGAGGAGGCAATACCAGCAGGATTGTGTAGGTGTATCCATGAAGAAGATGATGGCACTGCTAAAGATGAGGGCTCCATCTCAGGGCATGATGGATAGCAGTGATATGAATGCTCTCATTGAGAAAATCAGATATGAAAGAGAGGTATCAGGGACACAAAGTTGGCCTTGGCAGAAAGGCTACAGAAAGATCCCATTACCAGCCACTCAGTGGGGTCAGAAACTCAAAGTGCACTAAATGGGAGTTTAGGTTGCCGTCTCACTCGCTGTAAAAGATCACTCCCCAAAAGCTAGACAATTCATACAACATAAGCCATTCTGAGAAACAGTCTCGTTGCAGATTCATCTGTGTGCTGGACAGCTCTTTTCTCCGCTTTCTCCTTCCTAGGCTTCGACTTCCTTTCATATCGGTATATTAGCTCTCGGAAAGTTGAGTCACAGGAAGAAGAGTTTATGAATCAAGGCTTTGTGAGGTTTCACAAATCTCTCCAATACCATCCTGTAAGAAAGCAAAGATCTTTCTTTGACAGCTTTTTCAGTGACTGAACTTCCCTTTGGCTACTTATGCTCCAAAGTCCTTTTTTTAACCTGTGAGACGCTCATCTGGCACAGAAATGGCTAATGACTTTAGCATCGACCTAAAATTAGCAAAGCAATTACTTTCATTCAGGGACTTCAGTAATGGCAGGGGAAATGTACTCTTCATGAAAAATAGTCACTTGATAACATTTCGTAGCCATTTTCAGCCTTGTTAGAGTCTGCAATCACATTGTGTAGCAGGACAATGAAAGTGAACAAGTTACGCACTATATCTGTCACACTAAACAAAATTCTGCTCTTGCAGAGTTAGAGATCAGCTTTACCATAGAGAAAATAGCATATGCAAATGCTTTCTGATTTTCATGAGAGTGTGGCATTGTAGGGTGATGGCAATTTCAGCACTTAGAGCGAGAAGTATAATTAACTACTTAAGCAATACACGGTTCTGAGAAAATGACAGAGAACTCTCAGCCCTGGAGGCTAAGAGACTCACCTGATGCTAGAGAGGCAGGAAACTTCTGAAACTAAGACCGGAAAGCAAGTAAACGAAGTAAATTACGTTCTCTCATCTTTGGTTTGCTGTATCATGAAGCATTTTGTTACTAGTAGGAAATAACTCAATAACTTTGTGTTTATTCAAACGACATTAATTTTTCCTGTGTCCATGTATTAAGCCCAGGAAAGAATAGATTCCCTCATATTTTACCTTCAAGTAAACATACAGTGACAAAAATACATACTTGGGTCAGATAAGATGGAGTCTGTCTTCGGGACAAACTGGTCACAACGAAGTCCACGGTAACCCTCTTTACACCTGCAAAAGAAGAAGAATGTTCAACATTTCAGTGTAGAAATATAAATGACCTGGTTGTTTTCATTTTATTGTACAAACAGTTGGAACATTGGAATTATATACATATTAAAGCAAGGATACATTAAATTGATCAAGAGTGACAAAAGTTTTCGCAGTCATCATTTACTCACACACAAAAGTGAAAGTTTTTGTCCATACATTCAAAGTCAACGGACCCCATTTATTTTCATTGTATGGAGATAAACATATTTCAAAATATCTTCTTTTATGTAGTATGATGACAGAATTTTGGGGTGAACAACCTCTGTGGTGTGACAAATGCATTTTTAAGAGTCCAAATATTACATGCAATCTCTCAACTAATATGAAGTCATAAAAACAGCATTATCTAATTATACAGTAAGTAGAAAAAATGTTTAAAGTTCTAGTTGGAGCATGTCACACTGCAGGGCACCGCAGTCACTGCTTGACATGTCATGCCAACCCATTTAGAATACAGAAGTGGCATTCATAATACTGCGTCCACATGTCCATCCATCATTGTCGTTTTCAGAGAGAGATTGACTCAGCATTAGAAATCACAATATCCAGAAATGTTATTAATTAGCCTCATGCAGAAAAAGACCAGGAAGTAAAAGAGGGAGGGGTGATAGGGACAAGAAAGAAGAAGAAAAATAGGGATAACAGGGCGGGTCTGTCCAGAGCTCAGTGGTGCCTGCACTCGCACAGATAACACAGTCTTGACATTTATGTCACATCCCCACTGAGCTATGGGACCGTATGGAAAAGGAGGCGACATTTGACTAGACTCTTACTGTGAGATCTATTTGAAACGGGACTTCTTCCAAAAGTAGCAATGTGTTCTGAATCCGTGTGAAGAAGAACCACAGAGAACACTAGCTGCCCTCCAGCTAAAGCATTTCAGACATCTTCTAATCTCTCTCTCAGTCTCTCTCGCCCTTTCTTTGCATTTTTTTTTTAGATCTTACGTCTTCCAACAACTGTAGTCTTCCCCTGCGTAAATATAAATACAACACACCTCCGATGGTGCAAACACATACTCCCCATTTACCAGCAGCTTTGCATCTTTTATTCAGCACATGTTTACCAGAAAATTTTTCTATTCTGGGATCTGCCTCTGTGATCACTTCTCTCCTGTGCAACGCTAACATAATTTTGATGAGGCATACCATGATAATGACACTTCATAAAAGGAAACAAAAAGCATACAGGCTGAGAACCATCCGATAAATGCTTAACAGAATGATCTTGATGTTATTTCATATGGCTTCGTCTGCAGTGTGTGTGCGACAGCTGACTTGACTCAGTCCTGTCTGTGTGGCTTTGAGAAGCATGACTGAGGTTTGCTGAAAGAAACGGAAAAGTCTGAAAAAATGACTGCAAATTGGGAAAAACATGGTTAGACTGTAATTACAGTCATGGAAATAGGTGAGGAGCATGAAGTGCGGTCTCATCTCCTGCTCCCTCGCGCTCTGTTAGCTCACCGCCTGGTTAACACTGTCTCACGCGTTGATGGAAGAATGATGGCCGTGACTGTCGGCAGCCTATTTGTGTGTTTCTCCCCTTTTCTCTCATTTTTGTTAGACGATACTGTAGAGCATTTAGGCGTATGCCGAGAAAACAAACCGACAAATGATTTCTTGCATCATTGTTTACTTGGTATCGGAGGAAAGGAAAATCAATGTGTGCACATGTGTTTATGACATTCGAGGTGCCTACAGAGTAAACAACATTGTAAACAAGAATTTCTGCATCTGCTTCGTGGCTTTTCATTATCATTCAAGGACATGTTGCTTGGCATCAATGATCTTGCCCCCGTTGGTTAAATTACAGCTAGAGAGAAAAAGAGAGAAAGGATATATCTTCCCCGAAGGAGGCCAAGGCAATGAGCAGGACTACCGCCCAACTTGTTAATTAATGCTGAAGTGTGTAATTTTTTCGATGTTAAAATACTCCTGTCCCAGGTTAATATGCAGAGACAACTAAAAGTAAGCAATTAGTGGGGCGATTTCCCTGAAAAGTGTAAACACTGTGTCTCTGTGGCCCTATCAAAACATTGTTCTGTTTGTTTGAGAATTCCGACTTGCCTTGCATGGCAACAGTGACTGTGACATGAGTTAGGGGGTGGGGCACTCTGCTTTCCTGACTAATGGCAGATGGTCAGAGTTTTCAGAGGGAAACCTCTTTGGAAACAATCATTATTTTTGCAATAGCATTTGGTGATTATGGTGGCTCAGAAAATACACTTCGCCTTTGAAGGTACGTGGATGTAAGTTGGAGTAAACAGGTGAGCTTGTTTGTGCAGGAAAGTGTGTCTACGAGTGGGATGTGCGTGGTGGTATTCTTTTCCTCCCTGTCAAACAGCTCCCACATAACAGACTGAGCTTGTGACTTGCATGTGGGTGCTGTATATGCTACCCACATACTGTACAAACACACATTTACACAACCATATTGTCATCCCTCCTCAAGATCCTGTGACAACTTTCCTCTATAAATAAGGCGCAATCTGATCCTGACATCCTCTAGTATTATTGATGAATAGAGAGGCTAAAATAAGGCAAGTATTGGAAACAATCTCTGTTCAATTGTTCCCTTACCCAGCATCCCTGTCAAAAAAAGTGCTGTTTAAGAAAAAGCTGGCTTCTATATTATCACACGGCCAATACATATTCATATGTATCTGTCTGGGTTTGCAGAAAGGGAGGGGGAAAGTGGGCATTGCAACAGAATAATTTCATTTGTTGAATGACATTGACTGATGCCCACTTCACCATTCAGGATGTTTGTTTGCGAGACAAACCTCGCTTATAAAATTCAGCACACAAACAAGGACCAGTTCCCTATCCTCTTCAAGAAGTGTTTCTTCAACTCTGGGCATGTCTATGTCCCAGGGGTTGACTTCAGTTCAAATTAACAGATTACAATTTTTTTGTTTTTTTTTGCATAAAAATTGCCTTATTTAGCTACTTGTCAAATGCCATTTATTATTAACTTTTACCCTTGTCCCAGACTCAGACTTGCAATATTAAACTATGAAACTATCCATCTTAAAAATATGAATTATTTCATATTAAATTATGATAAACTAAGCAAATAATGAAATAAACATAAACCACATCCATTATTGTGTGAAAATCAATTATTCTAATATTTAAAAAAATAATTCAAATATTCCGACTCTTCTACAGTCGTGCCATCATTTCCACCACTCTGAGCAATTATACCCTTAATAAAGTTTTGTCAAAAGCAGAAATATGACAAATGTTTGTATTATAATATTATATACATTATGCACAATGGAAATAATATTAAATAGAATTAAAATAATATATATATACACACACACACACACACACATATATATATATATATTTAATAATCTATGTATATTTATATATATATATAATGCTATAATATATGACATAACAATGAAAATGGTATTACATTTTAGTAATTTTTAATAATATTTTTCATTCAAATAGTTATTTATGTGTATTTAGGAGAGTTAGCCTTAGCAAGACAAATGATTATTTTTTCCCCAAAAATGTAAAAATGTAATTTCCACTGCCTTTTCCATCACATTAAACACATTCATTTCAGGGCAAAAAAGAACTACGAAAAATAACTAGAGAGAGTGTGAAAATACTTTATATTCTAACATTTAAAAGGGCCGAACGGGCCTGTAGATGAATAAAACCCCACATATGAAATACTGTATAGAAACAAGCAAGACAGTAAAGAATCAATGTATCTTCTTTTAGGAATCTTCTTTTTATACATTTACCCTGAGCTTTGTTAAACTAAGAGTTTTTCTACTTTTAACATTATTTTTAAACTACAAAACCTCGACTTGAAAATAAACCTATTAAAATGGTAATCACGCATGAGTAGATAAGTCCCCTAAGCTTTTACTTGCGGAAGCGCAAACACTCAACCGGGAGTTCTCCTGACGACGGTATTGTCATGGAAGAGCCCTGGTTAGAGATAAGAGGAAGCACAGCGTTGTGTCACAAAACAGTTTGTGTGGAGTCTATCCACCAGTGTGAGGATCAGCAACTGTCTGAAGGGCACATGGAAGGAGGATGAGAATAAGTTAGAGACATTGATGGCCATCTTCACATGTGACTTCACAGCTCTGACACTGACACACACACACACACACACACACACACACACATACACACACACACACAGACAGGTGCTATTCGGTGAGGCTCTCATAAAAGGGCGATCATAGTTGGGTAAATAAAACAGGACTGGTTTCCAGTTGCTCACACAACACTAGACTGTTCCTGTCAGACTAACAGTCACACAGGTGTCACTGGGAACTAAATGCTTTTTTGTCACACATCACATTATGCGGTTGTTTTTAGGTCAGTGATGATGGATTGTTCAGGTTGGTGTTGGTGTGATCTGGTGTGAAAGTGCGCATATGTTCACAAGGATCATCTCACTAACACGCCACATCATGACGCAAGCCGGCACATGTGCAAAGACACCGAAACTGAACTGCCAGTGCCTGTCTCTTTACAATGAAAGCATGAATATCTTATTTTTCATCAGATATGGCAAGATAATCCAATGAAGCTGTGAGAGCGTCTGTCTCAGAGGTGTTTAAAAGCTTATCCTCCTTAATATCATTTACATGGCCCTTCTGCAGTCAGGGCAATAAGTGTAATTCTGTTAAATTGCGATATTGTCTTTCCCATCATTCTTCAGTCTCTCAGTCTTTATATATAAACTCTGGTTAATCCTTTCCTTTTTAATCAAGCCGCTTTGATGTATTCATCATGCCATTTTATTTAATTAGCTACTCCCCTGCAGGGGAGGATAGAGGTGGACACTGATGGAATCAACATGCCGATGAGACGTGGTTCTGCATCTCTGTGGTAATGTTCACCATGGTAACTTGTCGTGTTTGTGGGCTTAGTGCCCACTGGATTTGACGCAACCACAGAAACGTATCTGAAAATAAG